CATGTATACGGATAGTGCTGACTGTCAAGTATCTCACTCTCTTTGCTCTATGTGTGTGTGTACGTGTCTGAAATACGTGTGTATAGCTTCAGGGCAAGATGAGCAAGCAATCCCCTTTACTGCGGTCCCAGGTGGATTGAAATGTGAAGTCAAAAGTCTGAACACCCAAACATGCTGCACCATGCAAAAAAACAAAATCATCTGCAACATACTGCAGAGTCTGAAACTGATACATAAGAGGAAATATTAAAAATGAAGAAATGAGTACTTAGTCTATGAAGACATGGGCCAGATATCCCATGTGATGGCCCTAGAATGAGCTATTTATGAGTTCAGTCAGGAACTGCGGCTCTTTAAGTATCACCAGAGACTCCAGCCACTGTTCTCTCTGCTTCCATTAGACAGACAGTGCTGCAGCATCAGGTCTCGCACCAGCTGGCTGTAGGATACCTTCTTTCTTCAGGCCATCAGACCGTTGAACTCCTACATATTGTAACATTAGAACTGAAACCCCTCCCAACCCTTCTGCACTTGAACAATTATAGTGGGGATCTATGACCTGTCATATTCTACAACATAATTACTGCTTGTTTACTGCATCCCATCATGCACATTATGCCCACTAGTCTGTGCCTACTGTCACTCATGGGCGGCACTAAGGGTGGGCTTTTGGGGCTTTGATCTGCAATAAAGAACGTTAATTTAATGGATGCATGCAGAGCCTTCCACTACGCAGACAACTCTGACCTAAATGTCAGCAAACCCTATAGTTTTGTACTCCATCCAGATGTAATAAGCAAGTATTTCATAGACATAACTGTGATAAAGCAGAACATACAGCTGCAAACCAGCAACTGCTTTTATCTCAGATTCACTCAATTAAACAGTCTGCTAACTATAGACAAAAAGGCCCAATGAATCAATGCAGCTGTCACTTTTATAAAATGTAGTTACAAGACTACAGAAAAGCAAGACTATATTTTGGAAGTTCTTTCTGAAGTTTGAAGATGACAGTTAATGGGACAGTTTTATGATCAGTATTGTTTCTCATAAAAATTATACATTGCAAATATTCCAATACTCAAAGGGATAGTTCATCCAAAAATGAAAATTGTCATTAACTACTCACCCTCATGTCGTTCCAAACCCAAAAGACATTTGTTCACCTTCAGAAAACATATTTGGATATTTGATGAAATCCGAGAGCTTTCTGACCCTGAATAGACAGCAACAGAACTGACACGTTCAAGGCCCAGAAAGGTAGTAAGGACATTGTTAAAATAGTCCATGTGACATCAGTGGTTCAACCGTAATTTTATAAAGCTACGAGAATACTTTTTATATGCAAAGAAAATGAAAATAACGGCTTTGTTCAATGATTTCTTCTCTTCTGGGTCAGTCTCCACCGCCATTCAAGAGAGTACCACGACGCATGCGTGTGCAGGCCGGTAACCAGCTATGAGGCCACCGAGGTCCGGACCTCGGTAAATTTTTCATGTTCAAAAATAAAATGTGTTCCTTGAATGACTAGTTTGCTGTTAAACTCCTCATATGAATGCCTGCATGACATGTATAATTCAGTTTAGACAGTTTGCAAGAATGTTTAGCGTCCCTGTTATGAAAATGATCGCTGTGAGACGATGGCGGAGTGAACGAGGCTTGAGAGAGTTGTGAGTGAGGGCACGGGCACAGCCTCTGTCTCCAGATCCAAGCATTTTTGGACTTGTCTTTTCGACTTAATTTAATACTTTAGAAAGTTAATAAAGTAGGAAGTTGCAGTTTAGAGTCAGCAATATCTTTATCTTATCTTATTTGCAAAAGATTGGAAATAATTTCGGTTTATTTTTAGTTTTTTGTTTGTTTTAGTATCAATATCTGGTAACACTGCGTCGCCGGCACTTAAAGGGTTAGTTCACCCAAAAATTAAAATTAGGCTGCGTTTTACTCACCCCCGATGCATCCTAGGTGTATATGACTTTCTTCTTTCAGACGAATCCAGTCGGAGTTATATTATAAATTGTCTTTGATCTTTCAAGCTCTATCGTTGTACTCAGAGGGTGTTGCATTGCTTCCGTCCAAAAGATGTGAAATAAAAAGCACCTTTCCATTAAAAAAAGTGTCTCACACGGCTCCGGGGGGTGAACAAAGGCCTCCTGTAGCGAATCGATGCGTTTTTGTAGGAAAAATATCCATATTCAAAATGTAATCATTCAGTTGGCCGCACCGCAGCCGACTCATCAATAAATGAGTACAAAACAGCGTTTCCTAGCACCTGTCGCTTACTGATTGTTTGGAATTATAAATATGAGCGTAGTTTGTCTGTTAATATCACATGCACTTTTTTGTTTGTTGTTTTTTTTAGTTCGTTACTCAGACGCAGGCAGTGCGCTGCATGAGACAAAAAAGTAATATAGTCAAAACAACCACATAGCCGCTCTTTAGTGTAGATGCATGTTGATTTTATCAGACGATGCCACGATTATAAATGAGAGTGACTCCTGGTTAACATGTATTAAAAGGGGTTGTGTTTAGTCACTATTCAGTGTGGTATTTTTTGATAATATTCACTCATCATGACAGTGAAATAGGGCATTCTAAGTCAATATACTGCAGTATTTCCTCTCTCAATCAGTAGAAAATATGGTTAAGACCCGGTCATGCATGAAAAAAAAATACCGTCATGTACCGTGAAACCGGTATAATTTTGAAAAATACCGTGATGTACATTTTTGGTCATACCGCCCAGAGCATACATATTGTTGTCTTTGTATCTGTGTATATACTGATTATATTTAGAATATGTTTTGTGTGCATACTGTGCATATTTGTACATAATTTATTCAATTTCTGTATGTTAAGGAAGCATGACAAGAAAGTGAATTTGATTGGTCAAAAAACTTTGTGTCTATGGCACTCCAGATATCCATTTCCTCTATTCCACACCTTGCGTGCAACCTTCTCCCATAGTGCTTCCACAGACAACGGTGGGCATTTGACTATTTGACTGTTCCTCTTTTGCACTTCATGCACAGTTGGACTGTGTGGCACTGGCCAGCTGCTAACTTTGTGAGGGCCTTATTGCGTGTCAGGCTGGACACACAGACATAACAAAAGTCTCAAACCCTTCTTGTCTCCAGCAGCTGGGAATGCCATGTCCATCCCCCCCAAAAATAAACATGGTGCTGAGGCCTGGGCGGCACATTGTCACACTTGACGTCGACTCAAGACCTTTGACTTCAAGCTGGCAGCTGGTTTGGTTTAGTGTTGAAAAGAAAGGTGCCCATGCACCATGTAGCGTATGGAAGCTACATGTTACGTTTGTGGTCAAGAGTAATCCCAAACACGTCAACCCAGTTTATCTAGACGCCAAAGGTGAGACAGCAAGTGAGAACCTGGATTTAACACAGCCAAGTCACCTGAGAGCCTCATGTCACGGAGTCTTAACATCTGAGTATGACTGGACATACTTTAGGTTATATTCAAAGCTATTTTTAGTCTGAACTCTAAACTAGTTGTAGGCTGTGGACAGGGAATATGAAATACATTGCCTGTTATCAGCAGATTGTTGAGGATTCCACACACTACTGTAGCTTGCAAACATAATATTTACTACAACATTCGTGTATTGAGCAAAACATTGCAGTAAATAATGATTTTTTTTCGCAAGCTATGATAGCTTGTGATATCTGTTCTTTTCATAATAGTTTTATGTCTTGTGACGTAATCATTCAGGTGTACAAGGAGTATTTTGGTCAATGAAAAATATGAATGGCCACAATATACGGCTCAATTTAAAGTGGTTTTTTTTTTAATATCATAAATTATTCATTCAAAAATATAATGTTTTGGGAACATTGCCCCATGTGACATTTTACAAAATTTTTCCCAAACTATGCTTGTATTGGTTACTTTACCATAAAAAAATTTTGTGAAAATAAATTCTCTGATATTTTAATAGACTTATTGGTCACACTAAATTAAATTAATTGATTTTATTGACAATTAATTAATAGCTTAAGGTTTAAAAAATTATATAAAATAATATATAATATATATAAAACATTTATTTTTTTCATTCAGAAAATAAAAACCATGCTCACCATAGAAAAGGTAAATATAAAAGTCAATATGAATTGCGTTTTTTTGTGTGTGTGTTTTTGAATAAATTATTTAGAAAAAAAGAGAAAGTGTTATATCCTTGACACATTTATAAATTGTTAAGAAAATAAAAATTGTGCATTTGAAAATGTCTTTATTTTAACTCATTTTAAGTTGTAAGCACAGGTGCAAGTCTAATGCAAGTGTAAAAATGTACTTCCTATTTGGATCCAATTTTAAGTGGATCAAGACTGGAGTTCAGTCTTCAGAGAGGGCATGGTTACATTTTAGCAGCTGTGAAAAATTAAAATTAATCTTTACAGTAAACGCAAACATACACATACAAACACTCCAAACTAATTTGAAATAACTAATTTCCATAGACATTCCAGTTCATTCACCATGTTAAACACTGAGCTGTCTAGATCCTCTAAGGCTTCAAATGGTTGCACTCATTCCTGGCATTATTCTCAAAAATCCAGCTGTGGTGTCAGAATGCTAAACCTTCACTCACTCTGTCTCCCAAATCTCCATCATTCTTTCCAACCTCACTTCCTATACTTTCTTCGTCTCGGACATTTCTGCACTTCCAATGGTTATTCTGAAAACACATGTATTGTACACAATGGACATCTTTGTCGAGACATTCTTCCTGTTAGCTTGGGGATAAAAAGATGGCAGAAATAAAAACCAGTCACCAAGCTTCCTGCAGACATTATCTGTCATGCAAATGTTTAACGAGACATTTCCGTCGCCACAGAACATTTTCCTTTTTGTCAAGCACACTATTGTTGTGCAATATTTGATTTTTTCACATTATTTCTGTTATTGTGCATGTAGACAAAAATTTATATAACAAGAAGGCACACCAGCATTTGTCTGGATGTATAAGAATGGCCTACCTTTGGTATAGTGTTTTTTCTCTTTCACTTAGTTCAAAATGTCCAAACTGAAGTTAACTTGTGCCTGTAGAAGGAAGGAGGGAATATAAGCTTGTGTGTGCATCAGATCAGAAAATGTAAACACTAGTGAGTGAGGAGTGCAACTGCTATGCCATCATATTAACTGAAGGGTTAAAAGCAGGGAAAGACTATTGTACAATACCAAAAAATTGGACAGGACTGAAATCACAAAAAACAAAACAAACACATAAAAATGAACAGTGTATACAGCAATCAAACCACATAATAGGTAATCAACAGCCAGTAGGTACAAATACCGTAAAAGCTAGCCTACTCAAAATACACTCTTTTCCACATAAACTGGGAATCTGAGATTTGTTTTTAATGAATATGTTAATATATTACATTATCAATATTAAAGTATTGGTTGAGTCACAATTGTAAGGAAAACTGTTTCAAAAGCCTTTAACTCAGATAATGTGTGCACACATCAGAAGAAACTGGAACCTGAATTTAAATGAAAAACCTTAAACTCAAAGCAGGGGATTTGCCCCATCATTTCAATAGTCCAACACCATTATTACCACCATTATTACCACTATTCCCAGTGTTGGGGAAAGTTACTTTTAAAAGTAATGCATTACAATTAGGGCTGCACGATTAATCGCATGCGATATTTAACGCGCATCTTATCAGTAAAGCCGGTTCCGTAATCAGCGGTAAATCTCCATCACGTGTGTGCTTTCACATTGAGCCGCATTAACTACACAGAGCCGTTGTTCACTGATGAGCTGCGCAAAAAATCGTGCGAATATGAACGTGGTTTAGCACAGCTCATCAGTGAACAACGGCTCTGTGTAGTTAATGCTGCTCAATGTGAAAGCACGCAGGTTTCCGAGATTTACCGCTGATTACAGAACCGGCTTTCTGACAAGATGCAGGTTAAATATCGCATGTGATTAATCGTGCAGCCCTAATTACAATATTGCATTGCTCCCTAAAAAAGTAACTAATTAGGTTAGTTACTTTTTATGGAAAGTAATGTTACATTACTTTTGAGTTACGTTTGAAATCTGGGCAGGGCTTGCTTGTTTGTTTTTAATTAGTGCTGTCACACGATTAATCGCGATTACGGTTAAAGTGAGGGAAAAGCTCCGTGTATTGCGTGTAATCATATCCATACAGTTTATGATCACAACAACAACAACAACGTTTGTCAGGCATCTACATTGTCATCTGAGGAGATTACAAAGATTAAACGAGTGTTTTTTTTTTTTTAACTAAAACATTAAATTTGGAGTTATCTGCTTTTGCCAAAAAATGACTGTTGGAGTTATCTGCTTTTGCTATAAAACAAACTTTTAATATGTAAAAAAAACATACTTTCTATGAATTTGGAAACACGGTGAAAAAAAAATCTTGTTGGTTTTTACTTATGAATAATACTACAACAGGGATAGTAAATAACAAAGTTAATGAAGTAACTTATTATTAATAAACCTACGACTAATATTAACTTTATTTGTCCCACAGGGGAAACTGTTACTAATGATGGAAATAAACTGAAAATACATCATCTGTATGCTGTAGTGGTCTAGTGGTAGAACTTTTGTCACACATTTCCGAGGTTCTGGGTTCTAATCCACTCTCGTGTAGTTTTTTTTTCTCTCATTAAAACCAAAGGTGTTCATCAGTGATTGTATATCAAGAGAAAGGACATGTTTGTGTGCATTTTGTTTTGTGCTTTTACCAGAACAAAGCGTACGATCGTCTGTGTGAAGACTGCGCATTGTGCACGAGTGCCAAGAGAGAACCGATATCAGCAGCAACGAGTGCTCGCCATACCACATTCCAGCGATAGATCGCCTGTTATTTAACACAGACCAACAAATTTGTTATCAAATGGAGATGTTTCTTTAGGTACATCCGTGCGTGCCGCGAGATGTTGCAAAAAGTGGTGGGGGGTCGTGGGGAGCATTTTTTGTTCGTTAAATGTACGTGTTTTTTTTTAAGTAACGACCAAGCGGCCAGCGGCAGACAGTGAGCTGATCATAGCCTATGTTTGATCAATGTAGCCTTCTCAAATCATCACGACTTGTCTAAAATAAAATCTATAGATATAAAACAGTTCAAGCATATCACAATGTTAGTTTAAATGTTTAAACGATATAAATGTGCGCTGTTAGGCGCATATCTAATCGTTTGTGTGGAGAGTGGAAGCTGAAGGCACTTTGCAGGACATGGAGGCGCCAGCGCGATCACTCACTTGCATTTTTTTATTCTTGATAGTGGAAACATCTTAAAATATGCCTTAATTTTTGCTCATAAAGGTAAGAGTAATACATTCGGAAATGTAAAGGGTCTACTTTTATTTGTGTGCATTCACAATATCAACAAAAGTTGTGCTTTTATAAAATAAATAGGAAAACAGGATGCGCTTGCCGTCTCGTCTTGAACAGGAGCGTTTCACAATGATGAACCGAAACTCAACGAATTGAGTCACAGAGGCTTTAAATTACTACTTTAAAACGAAATAATTAAAATTGAAAACAAAAACTCTTTCATTATGTAATCTGTAAAGATGCATTTCTCTCTAAAGGCACGTCCAACGGGGAGATGGCGATGAATTTTTTCATCACCATCTAAACTATAAAAATAAGGAAAAGCCTTAAAAAGGCCCGATTATATTTTTTCTGATTTTTATGTTGCTCTGCTCTAAATACCTTAAAATTTAAAGGAATTGTTGCAACGCAATTTTGTCTGATATGTGAATTATTTATTATATTTATTTAGATACTGATTTTAGTTGGTCTAAATTAAGTAGGTTAGGCACAAATTTGCTTATATGGGTTCCCTTCTAGACACGAGCGCTGTGTGTTTGTATGTGCTTCATAACCGTGCACCCCAGGGGCCCCGTTGTAATAGCCTACACTGGGGCCCGCCATTACTAAGTTACGCCACTGTCCATACGTATTTATTTTAATAATCTTTATAATAATTCATATGATTTTACATGTGGTGGTGGAAATAAAGCTTCGCTGTTTGGTCCCTCTGTCACAGTTAATCTAATGCATGTAGTAGCCTCCGTGCCTCTGATAAGCACGTCATTTTAAGCTGGTGCACTGCTGTGTAACTTTGTTTTCGTTTTGCGCAAGCTGCAACAGTTCGGTTCCGTGTAACAGAAACACTCGGTTTAGCGGAACCTTTACGATTAATTAACCGTGACGTTTTAAAGCGTGGTTAATCGCGAAACCGGTTAATCGCTGCATCCATACAGTCAAGACATTGGAACAAAGTAACTGGCGTTACTTATTTGAAAAAGTAACTCAGATATTTCCTTCTAAATTAAAAAGTAATGCACTACTTTACTAGTTACTTAAAAAAGTAACATGATTACATAACTCATGTTACTTGTAACGCGTACCCCACTGCTTATTCCACAGAAGGTATAAAGAAAAAGAGGGTTATTTTAATCAAAACCAACAGGCATTTTGAACAAACAAATATTTTCCCAGACAACAATGACTCATAACCTATATAATCCCTTTCAAAGCAAATAACTGTGAAGTGTGATAAGTGAGAACTCAGTTGTTCTCTTTCCTCTTAATCAAGAAAGTCACAACACACAATCTGTTATACACCCTCAACACACAATCTGTTATACACCCCGACGTACACACACACACCTCAGCTGATGAGAAACAAAAGTAAAGAGTATGAAAAGGGGTGTGTGTCCCATTGAGCAAAGCAGATCACAGCTGCACACTAAGGCACAACTGTGCCGATCGTCTGTCCACACGGCAGCCTGAGACGCTGCGTGTGTGGCGCATGACAAAGCCATGGCTCACCGACTTGCAGACCATGTGGTGTTCTTGCAAAGACTCCCTTATTAGATCTTTCTTTAGACACTGTGGGTGTGACTCATGCGTGTTAGACATACTGAACAACACATTCCACCAACGGTGCTGAAAAACAGTTCCCTGATGAAATACTGTCTTTAAAAAGTTGTTAAAAATTAAGGAAGGTGTTGGAGTGTGTGGACAGTGAGTCAGTATAAAAACCCCTATTCATGTGACTTCAGTTACCATGGTAACAAAATCGGTAAGAAGTCTTAGTGTCAAACAATCACAAGTCACAAAATTTATTTACCACTTATTAGTGCTGGGTGGTATACCGGTTCATTCCGAATACTAGGGCTGTGTATCACCAGCAAAGTCACGATACGATACGTAAAGTGTAGAGCTGGGTACCGAAACCCGGTACCAATATGGCACCGGTACCTATGTAACCGGTATGCACTAGAACCGAATCCGAACGCAGATTTCGGTGCCTCATTTCGGTGCCATGCCTGAGCGATCAATTTAAATATCTGTCCTCTGGTTCTCCGAAACGGACGCAAGAAGCATCATCACTGGCACCATGTGTCCATGTTGTTTTCACATTCCGACTTAAAACCACAAATCGGGAAATGAGAGCATCCGATGAGTGCGTGAATGCAGTAATTACACTTGCTCTGATAGCAGCAGGTAGCCTTCCGTTAACTAAGCTAAACATGCTTAAATTAAAATGCCTAAAGCTAAACCTCCCTTGTATTCACATTTCTAAACCTGTTGTCCAACAAAAGAGAAAAGTATAACCTTTTTACTCCACAACACCAGTCAAATGCTTCCTTTTGTGATCTGATGAGGCTTCTTGTCACAGAATGAGGCAGAAAATATGTTCTATATGCTACTTTAAAAAGAATACATCGATTAGCAATAAATTAGGGTGACCATACGTCCTCTTTTCCCCGGACATGTCCTCTTTTTGGACCTACAAAAATGTGGATTTCTTAATTGCCCAAAATATCTGAGATTCGGCTGTTTTCTTAATCCCACTCCCG